AAAATAATATGAAATTGCACAAAACCTCTTAAGCCGCTGCCCTCCCCACTTGAACAAGGGAATGACCAGCCTGGCGTGATAAGCTTCTGCAGAGAGCTGAATTAAAATCGGTTTTAACTTAGCAAACAATAAACTTACTATTTTTGTCATGCAGCTTGTGACAGAAAGAAATCGTCTTAGAGCGGACAATCGAAGCAAGGAGTCGTCATCAATTTGTTGAATAACTTGGTACTAAACAGCACAACATTATTACTCAAGATGAAAAACTTTACTTGATCCAGAAAAACACACAGCATCGCGAAAGTGGAGTCCCAACGAGTTCCACAATCCAACCGTGGTTTGCGAGCATCGATTAGCCTAAATTAAAAATGTATTTTAAATAACATTAAAGACTAACTGCCCAAACTGCTGCCAGAGACTAGGAGAACGAGAAAGCTTTCGACGAAAGCGACGGATATTTTGCAGAAACTCCTGCAATGTCGACAAAGACAGAAGTTTTTGGACAAAATTATGGACAAGATGCGCTCCGCAGTGAATGCTAAACAGAAAATTAAAATCGTGTATATCGACAAGAAAAATACTTTTTCAAATCTAGTAAAGCGACAGCTTTTTTTTACATTGGAGCCACGGCCAGACACAAAGGTACATTTGAGGTGATCTTAAGGACGGATGAGTCGTCTTTCCCCGAAATTGTACGGTAGCAAGTTGAATCAGCCATAGAATGTCTATTATTCTATCGAAAAAGCTTCAGAAAAATCCTTTAAAACACTATATATACATATAGATACACTTCTTTGTCTAGTTTTCTCCATCAACTCCAAAACCAAAGCCTAAGCCTGTAAGCCGGTGCTAAAAAGTAACTAATGCAAAATTTGTGAATAGAAACTCTATATAACCAGAATCCGAGCAGTTCTTGGTCTTGCTTTTGTCATTATTGTTTTTTCCTTACTATGCCGTATTCTTTGTACGAGAAATGAACCCTTCGATTTCCGATATTCTTATCTCTCACAAACACACCACCGAGAAACTCCACCAAAAATTTCTCCAGTAAAACTCCACGGAGACCCCAACTAATCCAAAATTTGTGAATTTGTTCAAATTTTGTGTAAATTTGAGCTTTTAGCTTTTCGGAAAGTTGCTTTTAATCATAATATTTACAGAAAAACAAAAATTTGTCGTCGTTTTTCGTGATTTGGCTTAGTCTTGCGGATTTCCCGTCGAATTTGACCAATGACTTTTGTGCGGCAAAGAGAACCCGAAAATTGTCTGAGAAGCAGTATTCTGGTATTACTTTAATGAATACTGTAATGATTTCACTATTCTAACTAGGGAATGTTGTTAACCTATCTTGGCTTTTTTGGCTCGGGAAATAGCTTCTCTGATGCAGGTTTGTCACGCTGATTCCAAATCCGCAGTCAGTTTTTGCCAACGACAATTTTTTTGAGCTTTTCAGGTAGTGTCCGCCTCCGAAATCGGCAGAATAATTGATCAAATTCCAACTTCAATCAAGAAAAATCTGGGATTATTATTTTGTGACCACACTACCGTACCCTAAATTGTAAACTCGCCTTTATATCCTGCCCTGTTACAATTTTCCAAAAACAGAAAAACATTTCCTGACAAAATCATGGGCGTTCAAAAGGTGACGATCCGTTTGAAGTGCCCGAAAACTACGAGGACAAGGGAGTTCAGAAAACGCAGCAATATCTCGAATCGATATGTATGCCATTCCAATTATTCTGGCCAACTTTTTTATTTCAATTTTTCTCGGCCATTTTTAAAGCTTTATTTTTTATACGAAACAAATAATACATCCTTGTCAAATAATAATCATACATCGAAACAAAGATTCATCCTTGTCAACTTCTGCTCCAGTTGCATAGGCAATATCGAAAATAGATAATTGGATTAAATCAATGACAATGTGACCATGACATAATAAAAGCACTAAAACTGTATCAAGATAAAAACTCTCAGAGCTCCATCTTTTCCGATTGCGGATGAACGTAGAAAGCCAAAAATTCCGTTAAAGTTCCGTAACCATCCGCGTATGTGTATGATCCAAGCATGTAAACACCATCCCTCCTCGAGTCAATGTTCCGTCGAAAAATCTTTGGTTTCTCTGTGAACTCAAAATCGTAATCCAAATGCTTATCCCAGATCTCTTTCGCTATTTTGGTGACTTTTTGCTGGTTTTCCCCGTCAAAACGCCTCATTCCAGGGAATCGTGAAAGAAAATCGACGATTCGGCAATCCCTCTCTTGGGAATCCTTGTGATTCACATAAAAAGCCGCTTTCAAATTCTTGCTTGGGATCCCCTGTTCAACGATTGATTGCAAGACCTTTTCAAACTCATCATCGTCCAACCCTCTTCCAGAGATTTGCAAGAATTCTATCGAAGTCTTGGCAAAAGCAGCGTAGTAGAAGTGAAACGCAGCGGCGGAATAACAACACAAAAGGACTTTTTCGCAGTCATTCATCTGATTTGCAATGAAATTCTTGAAAAGTTCGCAGATCACTTGATTTTCTTTCAACAAATCAATGTCCACGTCAATAACCGCGGATTCTCCAATCACCGAGCGGAAATTCTCAAGAAATTTCAGCAACAACTCGTTCCTGTCCACAGAGAGGTTCAAATGTTTCACAGAGTTCAAGCGATTAAGAATCGCCGCGTTTACGTCGTTTTGGTCACGGAATCCGAATCGTTCGTTGAACCATGCCAGAAATTTGTCACACGAGTCGATTCGTTTGAACAATGGAAAGTGGAGAGCGACCTTAAGTCTGAGGCAGGAGTCATGGGGGCCACGGGTGATCCAAATCCAATAATTTCCAGGGCGGAACCGGTGCACGTGGCGCCCAAAAACTAGCCAGGGTCTCCGCAGCAGAATCGATCGGAATCCTGCGTTCACCTTGACCAATTCAATCGCATCTTTGGGCTTCATTTGCTCCAAAACTTCCAGCTTCAGGTCATAGTATAGCTTCTGCATGGGGAATGACGTCAACTTTCGCATTTCAAACGACATTTTGCTTAGCGTCCGTCAACCTGTAAATAAAAAAAACAATTAGATTTCCAAAACCAAGTCGGCAATTAAAATTAAAAGCTTTTACAGGGTGTGTCATAATTAATCATAATCACTTTAATGTAGCTCATTCAAAAGGTAAACGATTCCCACAAAATTTTTGAGTGGGTCTCCTGTAGCGGTGTCTATTATCTAACCGATAGGAGTTCACAAATATTTTAAACAAGCTTTCAAAGTTGGGAGTCACATTATGCCTCGCACCATGAGCCCAACTAGATTGTGTGCCAGGTTGAGCGCGACCCCCAAAGTTGAAAGCCCATTTTAAAAAAATGTGAACTCCTATCGATTAGATAATGGGCACTGCTACAGGAGACCAGCTCCAAATTCACTCGTAAAATGTTTGTGAAAATCGGTGATCATTTGACTGAGCTAGACCCTCCCCAGTGATTATGAGTAATTATGAGCACTCTGTAGACAAGGTTCTCAACTACCTCTGGATAACTCCGCTTTTCAACCATAATCAGAATGAACATGAAAAATGTCAACCCCGAGCTATCAAGACAGTAAAAAAACCATTTTAAGCGATATATGAATCCGAAAAAATAAGTTGTTTAATTTTTGACCGTAGAACACAAAAAATGTGAAAAGCGAAAAGAAACTTCCGCCCACGCTATTAGATGTGAGTGTAATTAGTCTCATTAATGGTTTTCTATAAAGACAACAACGTGGTACAACGCGAGCTCCGCCACGATACGCTGACCACCTTCCTCTACTACACTATCGACCACATCAGGCCAAACGTCGAATCGCAGAAGTTCGTGAGATTGTTTTTGGGTTATGATCTAAATGCTTATGCTTTTGTATAGCCCTTCGAATAAAAACAAAATGTACGACAAGTTAACTTCATCTTGTTTAGCATCAGGCAGTTTCATTATTCTATCAAATTCATTATCATTATTCTATCATTATTCTATCAAGGCCTATCGTCAGTACCGACGGATTTGAGCTTCTACACGACACTGATACACTGCCACTGCCTGACTGAGCTCAGTTCTGTCGCTTAAAATGGAGAGTTTGACAAGCTGTTGATCAGGTAAGTTTTAACTAAGGCTACTGCCTGACGCCAAACAAAAGGAAAAAGAAACAACAAAACACCTACAGGCCATTTTAGAAAGCTTCACAAAAGCAAAAACATTTAGATCAAAACCTCGAAAAAAACCCCACAAACTTCCGCGATCCGGTTGATATGGGCGAGAAGTGATGGGCCATAGTGGAATAGAATATAGTGGGGTAGCGTGGTCGGCGCGTCGTGGCTAAGCTCGCCCGAAATACGATGGGTCAGCAGCACCATCTCTGCAAAAAAAGATATACAGGTTGGTAAGGGGATATCGTTATAAATAGTAAAAACAGGAAAAAAGAAAGTAAAATAGGCACCCACTCGGGAGGGGCTTGTAAGATGAATGACTGTTCCGAAAGTTTCGCGCCTTTTTTAGAAAATCAATAGCTGAATATCCTTTCCCTGAAGATACTCGGCTAACTGGCGAAATGCTCGCTTGCGCATGGGTAATAATAGATTTGCCAATGTTCTGAAGCCGGAGATACGGCGATTTCTGCACCTATTTGTCATCTATCCAATAAAACCAAAAACACCCAAATTGATAAATCCTGCGACGGGAATAATCCAAAATGCCTCTGGCAAGGGTGAAAACTACGGCGAACCAGAATCAAAAATCTCATTAATGGTTTTCTACAAAGACAACCACGCGGTGCAATTCGAGCTCAACGCGACACGCCAGCCACCCTACTCAAGTCCACTGTCGCCCACCATTCCTCACCCATATCAGTCGCGTCGCCGAAATGTAGAATTTAGTGAGTTTGTTTTTAAATTATCAAATGAAAATTTTAAAAATTTTTATTTTCCCCAAGAAAAATGCGGTCCCAAGAAAAATATTATGCTAATACAAATACATTAGGGGATTAAGGTTTCACTTTGGGGCAATCCGGATGATGTCGAACGGCTTTACTTCGGATCAGGGCGTGGGCCTAGAAATAAATATTTAAAATTGATTTAAAATTTGAATGAATTATAGTTAAAAAATAAATTAATTTGATATTTAAAATCAAAACTTTATTACAATTAATAAAAAAGTGCCACCTTTTTCCAGCCAGGCACCTCCCACTTCTCATGAATCGATTGGAATTGAACAACATCACCTTGAAGGCCCGCCATAAGTTCCGTGAGTGCGTCCGCTCTAAAACGAAATGAGAAGCTAAACGCAAGAAGGATGAAAAAACCTCTCTAGAAAATCTCTCTGGAGGACTTTCAGGAGCTCTTTATCTTTGCCCCACGTCGTGAATCGGTCATCAGTGACCACGATACACACAGGCCTGCTACTAAAAATTAATTTCCCTTTATTCATTCACATACAAAAGTTAAAAAACGTTTTCCATTAATTCCCAAATTTTTCTTATCACGTATAGAGAACAGACATTTAACGTCGGGTTGTTAAATCCAAAAACCTTACACGTAATACTTCCATCCATTCAGCTGGCCCAGCACCTTCTCGACTGCCCTAAGACGCAATAAGGAGGCATCATCACGTGGCTCGCCTTTTCCGACGCTAAAATGCAAAAGGTCAATCACACGCAAGCAGAAACTTACAAATTGAGAGGGTGATCCCTTCCGAACCATCCTGCGTATTGCTTTGCTTTCTGATTTTCAGCCGTGTATACCTAAACACAATTACTCAAGCAGCCCGAAGTGTTCTCACCACAATCGTCTTCCAGTCCAATTCAGCAATGTCCTTTGCATGTTGACTTTGGCGTTCCACCATACGGAGTTCTTCCGGTCGCATGTTCACTAAAGATTTTAAATGTTTTAAGTTCATTCTCAAACTAGCCTTCAGATGTTGTTGGCAGCTCCTTCCAAGTCGGGTCGGGAATTGTGTTGCCAAGTCGGGCGGCTCCGGCGAATTTATCTGCCTAGAAACAAATATTTAAAATTTATTCAAAATTTTAATTAATTAAAGTTAAAAAATAAATTAATTTGATATTTAAAATCAAAATTTTATTACAATTAATAAAAAAAGCCACCTGGACATTACCGTATACGTATGCATGGCCCTTCACGTGCTCGAATCGAACTCCACCAAGAACATTTTCCATCTTCTCCTTGATTGCAGCTACTCTAAAAGGAAACAAAAAGGTAAATGCAACAAGAATGAACAAACTTGTTCTGCATGTTAGGCGGGATGTCCTGAGTATCCACTCAAGTAGCTGACCGCGTCCAGACTATCAGTGAAAATGGCGACCGGCTGGCAACTAAAAATTAATTGCGCTTTCGCTTTCATTCACATGCAAAATTTAAAAAACCTAAAAATTTAAAATTTTTCTATTATCTCTCGAATTTTTCTTCTCATGTATAGATAACAGATATTTAACGTCGTGTTGCTAAATAAATAAAAAGCTCACCAATAGTAGTTCGGGTTTATGACCTGCTTCAGTGCTTCTTCGATCGCTGTCAGTTCCACGAGAGTGCTGTTACGCATCTCCGAGTATGAACTGAGTGGATGGATTCTGGATGGAAAATGCAAAAGGTTAATCACACGCAAACAGAAACATACTTATTGAGAGGATGAGATGTCCCGAACCAAACCCCATATCCTTTGTCTCGTTGTTTCTTTTCTCCGGGTTGGTCGATTGCCCCATCCGTATAAATCTAAACACATTTACTCAAGCAACCCGAAGTGTTCTCACCTTAATTGTGTTCCATTGGAGCTCTGAGAGCACATTTGCATGTCGATCACCTTTCCTCATGAGAGTCAGAATATCCTGCTGCTCTAAAGATTTTTAATGTTTTAAGTTCATTCTCAAATAAACGACCATGTCTCAACACCAGTACCTTTGTTTTCGCGCCAAATATTATAGCCGAGAATTAATATTATACAAGACCAGCGGATAAACACCACTTTCTGGGTTTTCAGTTAAAAACACAGGCGAAAACGAGGCGAAAACATGGTACCAGGCCTATATGTTTTCAAAATTATAATCTACGGTTGCTCAAACTAAAAATAATTACGTAGTTGATTCCAACTTTGGAAACAAGTTATTCAGAACTTGCTAATGAGAGCAACATAAAGAAACAATAACTTACGCTTTGGAGGCAACAGTCGATTCGGTCCTCCGCTGCCGCCAGCTCCAGAACGTGGAATTTCGAGCTTCTCTGCTAAAACACATTTTGGTAACGGAATTCAATATTGCAAACTAATTTTTAGGAAAACAAATTTCTTTTAAACTACATACGGTATATAGTTTATAAAAGGCCCCTCGTCTAAGTTTACTCTCAAACAAGGACGCATGTCTCAGCACCAGTACTTTTGTGTCTGAGCGCTTGGCTGTCAAATTAAAATCGAAAAGAGAAGTCATTTTTTTGAAATATCAAAGGTATCCTTAGCATTAGCCAGGGCTTAGAAAACATAGTTCGAAATGAAATAATTGAAAATACCATTGAGATCATTTTGTTCAATCACTTTGTTCTAAGCCCTGCTTAATACCAAAATTAAGGGTGATATTTTAAAAAAATGAACCATCCCATCTACTTTAATTTGTAACTCAAACGCGCAGAAACGAAAGTACTTTCGCGGAGATATATGAATTTTTGTTTGAGTGTAAACTGTAAACTATCAAACGCTTCTATAAGTGGGCGGAGGAGGGATTTTGATTAAAGTAAATACGGTAGCCAACGAGAACAAAACAAAAGAACTAGCAACTGACCGGGTCCAGATTTGTTGCCGACGATTGGTTTGTCACCATCTCTTTGACCACTCTATAAAAATAGGCACAATAAAGAAATAGTAAAAAAGTTAACCTTCTTGTTGAAGAACTGCAGAAACAGACAAATGAACAGTGACCATCGAATCCACAAGCCTAAGCCAATGAGGGCAGTAGTCGTCCTCTTCGCTTGTTGTCAAAGATGACTCCTAAGCGACTAAAAACAGAAATATTCCAATACTTTAACTGGTTTTAACTTCGCAAGCAATAAACTTACCATTTTTGTCATGTAGCTTGTGACAGAAAGAAAACGTCTTAGAGCGGACAATCGAAGCAAGGAGTCGTCATCAATTTGTTGAATAACTTGGTACTAAACAGCACAACATTATTACTCAAGATGAAAAACTTTACTTGATCCAGAAAAACACACAGCATCGCGAAAGTGGAGTCCCAACGAGTTCCACAATCCAACTGTGGTTTGTGAGCATCGATTAACCTAAATTAAAAATGTATTTTAAATAACATTAAAGACTAACTGCCCATCTTTATTCTCGAAATTATATCCTATTTTTATCGAAACCCTTTGAAAACCAACTCTGAAAATATGCTCGTTTCGCTTTCTCCATCACTTTTAAGGCTGTGCTGAGTTGATCGTTTGAGAGCGAGTCGAACACTCGATGAACGGTCAAGAGAACGAGGGGAGATGAGGAATTTGAGGAGAGATACGTCATGAAACCATTCACCAGACTTTCTGAAGAATAGAATATCTGAGGATTTCCGGAGACTTCAGTTAGTCTAGGAGGCGGTACTTACAATTAGCCTGGATCAGACCAGGCTAGGTCAAATCTGGACTAGATTCTGGCCGTACTTTGTAGATCTCACAATAAGCTACACTAACTTGTCCATGATTGGTCACAGATTAAACGCGTAATTCAATCTTAAAGCCAATCTCCGAAATTCTGTCGGATGGCTGGAGTCAGATCGCTGGAGTCGGATCCAGGCCAGGCAAAATCAGACGACTGGTATAAGCATTTGAATTACCATTTTGATTTCACGGAGAAATCAGATATTTTTCGACGAAACATTGACTCGAGGAGGGATTGCGTCTACATGTTTGGATCATACACATACACGGATGATATAGATTCCGGAACCACAGAATTTTTCGCTTTCTACATTGATCCGGAGTCGGAAAAGATGGAGTTTTGAGAGTTTTTTATCGGGTTTGATACAGTTCTAGTGCTTTTGTTATGTCATGATCACATTGTCATTGATTTCATCCAATTCATCCATTTTCGACATTGCCTATGCAACTGGGACAGAAGTTGACAAGAATGAATCTTTGTTTCGATATATGATTATTATTTGACAAGGATGTATTATTTGTTTCGTATAAAAAATAAAGCTTTATAAATAGCCGAGAAAAAGTGAAATAAAAAAGTTAGCCAAAATAATTTGAATGGGATACGCATCGATTGGAGCGTTTTCTGAACTCCTTGTCCTCGTAGTTTTCGCACGCCACTTCAAACCGATCGTCACCTTTTGAACGCCCATAATTTTATGGTGGGTTTTTTCGAGTCGTTGCAGATTTTCTCAAAAAAAACCTTGTTAGCGTGCTTAAGTGGAATTGAGGAGCTTTCAGGCACTGGTGGGGCCACTGGAGGTACAACACCAAGCGGTACTGGGCCAACTGGAGGCACTGGATCAACCTCGGGAGAAACTGGTCGATCGACAGGTGTGCTTATTGAGTGTGCTAGACAAAATTCCTAGTTTTCTGTGTGTGTTTTGTTTAATGGAGTCAACCATGTTAACTCCAACGCTTTTTTGGTTCGTTTGTCGTTGGCAATTTACGAATTTTGTTCGTAACTCAGCCGAGTTTGTTTGAAAAACGTTGAATTTGCTTTCATTCGACTCGAAATCAAATTTCCTATCGAATGAAAGCAAATTCAACGTTTTTCAAACAAACCCGGCTAAGATACGAGCATTTGTAGATTACCAATAGCAACGAAGCGTAGTAAACGCGGCTGAGTGAAGTGAACGCCTGGAAAGTATTAGATGCCAATTTTGAACTCTTATTGTGCTATTGGTGTATGAGTTTTGTTATGATTTTGCAAAAATTGCTAACTCTTTTATCCTAAAATCGTTTGCAGTGACTCACTGGGGTGTTTAGGTGGCACAGAAGCCACAGATCGTACGGGCTCAACCTCTGGGAGGGACTGGAGGCACAACGCCAAGTGGAACAGAAGCTATGGGTAGCACTGGATCAACTTCTGCAGAGAGTGGTGCAACTGAAGAGACCGGAGGAGCTACAGATCGTACTGGAAAAACGACAACTGCTACAGGAGCCACTGAAGCAACGACAGCTGCGACGGCAGCCACTGGAGCAACCGGTTCAACTGGAGAAACCGGAGGATCCACGGTTGCACCGTTTGTCTCACTCGAGCGTCAGTCTTGCGGTGCTGGGTATGTCTAAAAAACCCAGTCACTCTTTGAAGTGACTGACAAGGAAAAGGCAATAGTAGGATGTGGCCAAATGCATTGTTCAAAAACGAAAAGCAGATTCGGAATCCGCGTGAAATTCTGCATCTTTTTCTGAATTCTGAAATTCATGGTTTATGGCTTTTCTCAGCCTACTGTTACCTTTTCCTTGTGAGTTAGGTGTTTAGGTGAAACTGGGGAAACCGGAGGAACTTAAGGTACAACACCGAGTGCCACAGGTGGTCCGAAGCTACGACTAGAGGCCCAGAAGACATTGGAGCGACTTCATCGGAGACTCGGGCTACTGGAGAGACTGGAGAAACAACACCAATCGGCCACCGACAAACATGCAAAAGTTTGCCGGATTGCCTACATTTCTACATAAGTTGATAAACTTACTTTTACAAGTCAATAGAAGACCTCACGTCCAGTCCGAGGTCATTCAAGGTATCCCGTTCGTCATCCTCAACTCTGCCACATCTTTTGGATCGAGGTCTTATGCGATCTTCTTGATCAATTCCAACGAGAAGTCGCCAATTTTCGCCCTTCATTTTTCTTCTCGCTTTCACTTTTGAGTTCGCCTCTCAACCGACATTCTCGTACCTGAAAATAAAAAGATACCCTTTGTAACATTAAACATTAAAAGCAAATGATATTTCGACTATCAAAAGAGAATCACGATCCTAAAGCGGTTGTTAGACAAAATAAAATAGTCCCAAAAGGTCTAAAACTAAACACTTGCAATTCTCGGACAACAAAGATTAAAATCAATAACCTTTAACAAATACCTTTAAAAGCATACAACTTCACTCATTCACATCAACACACTCTTTTAACGATTTATTAAGCGCATTCTTTAATTTCAGAGTAGGAAACACAGAAACAAGTTAAATGACATAAACACGTTCCACCACTTTTTGATTTTCCCACACCAGTATCTTCCCGATGTGGTGACGGTTGCATTGGAGGAGACTGAAATTTAAAGTGGACCTTCACTCAAATTAAACAATAACCTGTGATAATTTCCGCTGAATTTAATTGCATAGCCAACAAATTCAAACTGCTGCCTTGTTGATGGTGGAGGCATTCCGAGAAACCCCGACATGCATTGCTCGAAAAGATCCCTAAAACATAGCGTTCGTTGAACAGACTCCAACCCATACTTATAAGCTTGCAACAAAAAGTCACCATTTTTCAACGCTCAAAGCAATTAGTTGAATCAGGTCCTTGCAAACGAGAAGATGCCCAAAAAAGATCTATTAACATCGTCTCGTTTGAGTTCATCCCCGTTTCTTTTATTTCTAAACAGCAATACAGTATCGTTCAACTGTTTCATTTACCTTTTGCCAAAACCTCTTCGTCAATTTTCTCTTTTGATTGAACATAGGCTTGGAAAGAAAGGTGTTTTCTTTCCGAAAAGTCGTCTAACCTTTTCATCCTGAACCTGGCCTAAAAAACACTGAAAATTTAGCTTAAGAACCCTACCTCTAGGACGTTCATGAGTAGGGGAGAATAACGACTCGATTGAAACGAGTGTGAGAGGCGACTCGATCGACTCGACTTGCTCTGCGTGACGAGCCATGGTGTCGATACGGCGATCTTTCATGACTTGGTCGTACTCAAATGAACGATTATAATGATGGCTGAATAAAAGAGGTGGTTCCGCCTACAATTTATTTTATTGCAATTACAAAACATTCAGCGCACCTTTCGACCACTTGCAAAGCTTCCTTGCTCTCACGAATCGCCTCTTAGACTTTGCGAGTCGCTTCTTTCACGCATTCTCTCATCAAAATATGTATCCACCAATCCTAAATCAATTCACATTCAAATGAAGCCGATCTTCTCTACCTTGTGAATCTTTCGACTTCATCGGTTTTCCTTGTTGAATTGAAGAACCATAAGATGAAAACCGAATTAGCGAAAGACCTCCATTTTGCCTAAAAATAAAGTTTAATTAGATCTACCTAGAGCGGGTTTGATCCAAATAGACGGCCTTACTACAGCATTGAAAGCCATCAATTGCCAAGATTCAAGCTCTGACTCGAGTCAACTTTTAATCAACCCATTCAAAAACTGACGATTCCTCTTTTGTTGAAATGCCTCATCGCAGAGACGCCGAAATTCGTCGAGTGCCTTCATGCCGATAAACGCCGGCAACTCGATGTACTAAATTTAAAAGTTTAATGCCCGCTAACTTAACCAATAGACCCTTCAAACACTCAACTGTTCCACTGCATTTTGTTCGGTGATGGATCATCGCGTCGCTGGTGAAGATTTCGAGAGGACATTGCGAGCACCGGTATTTGACCATCTCTAAATTTTAAAATTTAGTCCTTTAGCAATCTTTGACGAAGAGAAACTAAAGTTAACAAAACGAAACAAATTGTTTTTTGTTACGATTTTTTTGTCATTTACTGAATCGAAACACCATAAATAGATAATTTTAAAGCAAAGCTTTCAAGAAAATTGCTAAAAACCCACTCAAACGAGTCACCGCTATTTGTTCCTTCAAATGTGCGTTGCCGAGGTGGTAAAGGGTGTAACGACTGAGTGTAAAAGTCGCAAAGTCCATACCTGGAAGAAAGTTGAGAACTTTTGAGCAAAACGAGTGATTCAAATTGAAGAAACAAGTAAACGGGGCCAAAACTCAAGAAAATGCTAGGGATTTGTTCAACTATAGCTGATTCGCGCTAAACTTTGCTTCAGACGAACGCCAGCTCAAGAACACACGTTTCCACTAATGAATGCATCATTTTCCTACCCATCATCTTTAAACAGTAATGTTTTAAACCTTTTTGACTAACAAGAACTCGATTTAGCCGTTCGGTAGTGTCTAATAGGAAAATGTTACAATATTCGGTCTATCAATTGAATATAATTAATTCTACTTTGCAATGTATGAAATTCAGCCACTTTTGGCAGGAAAGAATGAAAATATTCAGTTGATTAAATGAATAGCATTAAACTGGCTCAATAAAGTTTATTGCTTTATAAAGTTTTACGGCCGTTTTTTACTCTAAATTTGCGTACCAGCAAAAATTTGAATTTAAAATTTAGAAAATTTGCATTTAAAATTTAAAGGAGAAAATGTGAAAAATATTTTATTTCATTCATTTGAATTGCTTACAATGGAGTGCCTGCGTCGAGTGTTCGCAAAGTTCTTCAACAAGAAGGTTAACTTTTTTACTATTTCTTTATTGTGCCTATTTTTATAGAGTGGTGAAACGGATGATGGCAAACCAATGGACCGCGACAAATCTGGACCCGGTCAGTTGCTAGTTCTTTTGTTTTGTTCTCGTTGGCTACCGTATTTACTTTAATCAAAATCCCTCCTCCGCCCACTTATAGAAGCGTTTGATAGTTTACAGTTTAGACTCAAACAAAAATTCATATACAGTAGCGGATTTTCATCAAGATTATGGCTCTTAACGCCTGAAAGGCTCTCTCCAGAACTTCCTATAGATGTTCAATATGGTTTAAATCAGAACTCTGGCTCGGCCATTCCATAAAATAATTCCTTCCTTCTGAAACCAGTTCTTTACAAGCCGCGAAGTATGTTTGTCCTGTTGAAAAATAAAGTTGGAAGGCATCAACTGGAGGGCACTGAACTGGAGGGAAGCTTATGTTTCGATAAAATGTCCAAGCAAGCGCGTTTGTCTATAATTCCATCAATGCATTTTAATGGGATCATTCTGTAAGCCGAAAAGCCGCCAAAAGCAAGATCACTATCACCGCCATGCTTTAAAGTCGGAATTACGTATCCTTTACTGAACCTTTTGCTGGTATGAGGACGAACATATCGAAAGCCATCAGATTCAAACAATGCGAACTTACTTTCGTCCGAAAAGAGGCAAATAGACCATTGTTGAGCCGTCCAATATCGATGCTCTTCTGTGATTTTGCCTCGAAGCTTGCGAATCTTTGCAGAAATCAATGGCTTATGAGCAGGACGTCGACCAAACAATCCAAATCCGCGTAAATGACGTTGTACTGTCTTTGAACTAAATTCGTTTTTGACTTTGTCAGGCAAATCGGCGTAAATCTCGACCGATGACTTCTTTGGGTCAGCCTTTGAAAGAGTATTTCATCTGCAAACCATCTCGTTTTGTGGTCTTTCTGTCTTTTCCCCCGTATGCTTATGAGCATTTGCTGTTCCAGTTCGAGCGTATCTTTTTAAAATTTTTGATTCAGTACTCTTTGAAAGGCCAAGAGATCGAGCGATAAATGTCTCCTTCTGCATATTTTGGTGCATCCATACAACATCTTCGCGTTTCTCTGTTGAAGTCTCTTTCTTGCTGCCCATCTATAAAAAAAGTTAAAATAATTAGTAGAGGTTTAAAAAGATAAAAATAGAACAAAAAAGTAATATACTTGAGGTTTTTATGAAAGTTTCCAAATTTATGCCCTCTAGGTTTATAGATAAATGCATTAAAAATAATAGTTTGTTTTCAAAAAGTTCAGCAGTTCTGTCTATGGATTATTACGTGCTTTTTAGGCCTACATATTTTCGCTAGTAAACATACCGAATCAGATTTTAATAAGAAAATTTTTTTAGAAAAAACAAAAGTTTCCAAAATTATGTCCGCTACTGTATATCCGCGAAAGTACTTTCGTTTCTGCGCGTTTGAGTTACAAATTAAAGTAGATGGGATGGTTCACTTTTTTAAATATCACTCTTAATTTTGGTATTAAGCAGAGCTTAGAACAAAGTGATTGAACAAAATGATCTCAATGGTATTTTCAATTATTTCATTTCGAACTATGTTTTCTAAGCCCTGGCTAATGCTAAGGATACCTTTGATATTTCAAAAAAAATGACTTCTCTTTTCGATTTTAATTTGACAGCCAAGCGCTCAGACACAAAAGTACTGGTGCTGAGACATGCGTCCTTGTTTGAGAGTAAACTTAGACGATGCGACCTTTCTATAGGGGCCTTTTATAAACTATATACCGTATGTAGTTTAAAAGAAATTTGTTTTCCTAAAAATTAGTTTGCAATATTGAATTCCGTTACCAAAATGTGTTTTAGCAGAGAAGCTCGAAATTCCACGTTCTGGAGCTGGCGGCAGCGGAGGACCGAATCGACTGTTGCCTCCAAAGCGTAAGTTATTGTTTCTTTATGTTGCTCTCATTAGCAAGTTCTGAATAACTTGTTTCCAAAGTTGGAATCAACTACGTAATTATTTTTAGTTTGAGCAACCCTAGATTATAATTTTGAAAACATATAGGCCTGGTACCATGTTTTCGCCTCGTTTTCGCCTGTGTTTTTAACTGAAAACCCAGAAAGTGGTGTTTATCCGCTGGTCTTGTATAATATTAATTCTCGGCTATAATATTTGGCGCGAAAACAAAGGTACTGGTGTTGAGACATGGTCGTTTATTTGAGAATGAACTTAAAACATTAAAAATCTTTAGAGCAGCAGGATATTCTGATTGCCATGAGGAAAGGTGATCGACATGCAAATGTGCTCTCAGAGCTCCAATGGAACACAATTAAGGTGAGAACACTTCGGGTTGCTTGAGTAAATGTGTTTAGATTTATACGGATGGGGCAATCGACCGACCAGAAAAGAAACAACGAGACAAAGGATATGGGGTTTGGTTCGGGACATCTCATCCTCTCAATAAGTATGTTTCTGTTTGCGTGTGATTAACCTTTTGCATTTTAGAATCCATCCACTCAGTTCATCCTCGGAGATGCGTAACAGCACTCTCGTGGAACTGACAGCGATCGAAGAAGCACTGAAGCAGGTCATAAACCCGAACTACTATTGGTGAGCTTTTCCAAATTTAGCAACACGACGTTAAATATCTGTTATCTATACATGAGAAGAAAAATTCGAGAGATAATAGAAAAATTTTAAATTTTTAGGTTTTTTAAATTTTGCATGTGAATGAAAGCGAAAGCGCAATTAATTTTTAGTTGCCAGCCGGTCGCCATTTTCACTGATAGTCTGGACGCGGTCAGCTACTTGAGTGGTACTCAGGACATCCCGCCTAACATGCAGAAAAAGTTTGTTCATTCTTGTTGCATTTACCTTTTTGTTTCCTTTTAGAGTAGCTGCAATCAAGGAGAAGATGGAAAATGTTCTTGGTGGAGTTCGATTCGAGCACGTGAAGGGCCATGCATACGTATACGGTAATGTCCAGGTGGCTTTTTTTTATTAATTGTAATAAAATTTTGATTTTAAATATCAAATTAATTTATTTTTTAACTTTAATTAATTAAAATTTTAAATATTTATTTCTAGGCAGATAACTTCGCCGGAGCCGCCCGACTTGGCAACACAATTCCCGACCCGACTTGGAAGGAGCTGCCAACAAGCACTCGAGGTTTGTTTGAGAATGAACTTAAAACATTAAAAATCTTTAGTGGACATGCGACCGGAAGAACTCCTTATGGTGAAACGCCTTCAACATGCAAAGGACATTGCTGAATTGGACTGGAAGACGATTGTGGTGAGAACACTTCGGGTTGCTTGAGTAATTGTGTTTAGGTGTACATCGCTGTAAATAAGATCGGACACCAATACGCAGGATGGTTCGGAAGGGATCACCCTCTCAATTTGTAAGTTTCTGCTTGCGTGTGATTGACCTTTTGCATTTTAGCGCCTACAATGCCGAGGGAAAGGAGACAGCCGACAAATTGAGTCTGGCAGTCGAGACGGTGCTGGGCAAGCTCAATGGATGGAAGTATTACGTGTAAGGTTTTTGGATTTAACAACCCGACGTTAAATGTCTGTTCTCTATACGTGATAAGAAAAATTTGGGAATTAATGGAAAACGTTTAACTTCTGTATGTGAATGAATAAAGCAGAATTAATTTTTAGTGGCAAGCCTGTGTGTATCGTGGTCACTGATCAGCGATTCAAGGAGTGGGGCAAAGATAAAGAGCTCCCGAAAGCCCTCCAGAGAGATTTTCCTACGAGGTTTTTTAATCCTTCTTGCATTTAGCTTCTCATTTCGTTTTAGAGTGACCGCACTCACGGAACTTATGGCGGGCCTTCAAGGTGATGTTGTTCAATTCCAATCGATTCATGAGGAGTGGGAGGTGCCTGGCTGGAAAAAGGTGGCACTTTTTTATTAATTGTAATAAAGTTTTGATTTTAAATATCAAATTAATTTATTTTTTAACTATAATTCATTCAAATTTTAAATCAATTTTAAATATTTATTTCTAGGCCCACGCCCTGATCCGAAGTAAAGCCGTTCGACATCATCCGGATTGCCCCAAAGTGAAACCTTAATCCCCTAATGTATTTGTATTAGCATAATATTTTTCATGGGCACCGCATTTTTATTGGGGAAAATAAACATTTTTTAAAATTTTCATTCGATAATTTAAAAACACACTGAATTCTACATTTCGGCGACTCGACTGATATGGGTGAGGAGTGGTGAGCGACAGTGGACTTGAGTAGAGTGGCTGGTGTGTCGTATTGAGCTCGCATTGCACCGCGTTGTTGTCTTTATAGAAAACCATTAATAAGATTTTTGATTCTGGTTCTATATAACGTGTCTGACGCGATCATACGAGTTACACTCACATCTGTTAGCGTAGGCGGACGTCTCTTTTAAATTTACGCATTTTTTGTGATTCTTTCTTTTGTGAGACTAGATTCTTTGTGAAGTCTGTTGTGGTGAGCTCGCTGATTATTCGAAACACAGATCCACACGATCCTACAGGATTAGAAGAAGGGGCCGCAGTTTCACTAAATTTTTCGCCTTCTACGTTCAACCGCCATCGGAAATGATCGAGTTTTGAAGGTTTTTATCGGGTTTTATACAGTTTTAATGCTTTTATTGTGTCATTATTTCATTATCATCAACACCAATCATAACAACACGCAAAGCTTCGAAAACAATACCGCGGCCAGCAGCTTGAAGACACGAAATTTGGGTGTTAGTCACTCAACAAGGACAACGCGAATAGCTTATCGGTGAGGAGTTTTTGAGCTTATTCACTGGAATTCGATTGCAATCTTTTGTAGTTTGCTTCACTGAATACCACAGAACTAAAGCGTGGAAAGGTCGTCACACCGATGAAGTCGAAAGATTCAGCAGGTAAAGAGGATTGGCTTCATTTGAATGTGAATTGATTTAGGATTGGTGGATACATCTTTTGATGAGAGGAGGCGTGAAAGAAGCGACTCGCAAAGTCTAAGACGCGATTCGAGAGAGCAAGGAAGCTTTGTAAGTCGTGGACGTGATTGAACAGATTTTCAAGAGAGGTGCGCTGAATGTTTTGTAATTGCAATAAAATAAATTGTAGGCGGAACCACCTCTTTTATTCAGCCATGATTATAATCGTTCATTAGATTACGACCAAGTCATCAAAGCTCACCGTATCGACACCATGGCTCATCACGCAGAGCAGGTCGAGTCGATCGAGTCGCCTCTCACACTCGTTTCAATCGAGTCGTTATTCTCCCCTACTCATGAACGTCCTAGAGGTAGGGTTCTTAAGCTAAATTTTCAGTGTTTTTTAGGCCAGGTTCAGGATGAAAAGGTTAGACGACTTTTCGGAAAGAAAACACTTTTCTTTCCAAGCATATGTTCAATCAAAAGAGAAAATTGACGAAGAGCTTTTGGCAAAAGGTAAATGCAACAGTTGAACCATACTGTATTGCTGTTTAGAGACAAAAGAAACGGGGATAAGCCGCTTAATTTCACGAGAAGTCCACTCGATGATGAATCGTGCCTCCAATGAATCGTCGATGTTTGAGGGTGGTGAGATGACGTAGAATAACTCAAACGAGACGATGTTGGTAGGTCTTTTTCGGGCAAAAAATCTTTTGCAAGGGCATGGTTCAACTAATTGCTTTGAGCGTTGAAAAATGGTGAGTTTTTGTTGCAAGATTTTAAATATGGGTTGGAATCTGTTCAACGAACGCTATGTCTTAGGGGTCTTTTCGAGCAATGCAAGTCGGGATTTCTCGGAATGCCTCCGCCATCAACAAGGCAGCAGTTTGAATTTCTTGGCTATGCAATTAAATTCAGCGGAAATTATCGCGGGGTATTGTTTTGACGGTTACAACCGTCACCACATCGGGAAGATACTGGTGTGGGAGAATCAAAAAGTGGTGGAACGTGTTTATGTCATTTAACTTGTTTCTGTGTTTCCTACTCTGAAATTAAAGAATGCGCTTAATAAATCGTTAAAAGAGTGTGTTGATGTGAATGAGTGAAGTTGTATGCTTTTAAAGGTATTTGTTAAAGGTTATTGATTTTAATCTTTGTTGTCCGAGAATTGCAAGTGTTTAGTTTTAGACTATTTTATTTTGTTTCCTGAGACTATTTTATTCCGTCTAACAACCGCTTTACGATCATGATTCTCTTTTTTGGTAGTCGAAATAGCATTTACTTTTAATTTTTAATGTTCCAAAGGATATCTTTTTATTTTCAGGTACTAGAATGTCGGTTGAGGGGCGCCTCACTCTAGCCGCTTTATGGGGCACTGTAGAGCGCCTAACGCTCAATATGAGGACCCAATATGTAGGACTACTGTAATCCCAGCGATCTCAGCTATTTGCCAACCTTTTTGCAGAGACTCGCCCACCCTCTTCGACGCTTTGATGCGATCCGCGTATCAAAACCGGATTGTATAGGGATAGAAATTTTCAACCATTCAACTTTCTTTGCGGACTTACTTGGAATTTCTAGCCTTTATTTCTGTGAGATATCAATCCGCTACCTGCTCATATTCTTCTTTTCAGTTCAGAGGGAAAAATCCTTCTCGTGATCGTTAAAGCCAAATTCTTTTCAGTTGATATTGATATAAGAAAAGAAAATGCAAAAATCGCTGTATCTCCGGCTTCAAACCATTGGCAACTCTTTTTCTTTTTATAGCCATTGGCAAATCTATTATTACCCATAGGCAGGCGAGCATTTCGCCAGTTAGCTGAGTATCTTCAGGGAAAGGATATTCAGCTATTGATTTTCTAAAAAAGGCGCGAAATTTTCGGAACAGCCTCTGTTCTACAAGCTCCTCTCTAGTGGGTGCCTATTTTATTTTAACTTTGTTTCTCTTTTACCATTTATAACGGAAACCCCTTACTAACCTGTATATCTTTTTTTTGCAGAGATGGTGCTGCTGACCCACCGTATTTCGGGTACAATGCGAGCTTAGCCACGACACGCCGTCCACTCCACCCCACTATATTCCATTCAACTATCGCCCATCACTCCCCATATCAGCCGAATCGCAGAAGTTTGTGAGTTTGTTTTCGGGGTTTTGATCTAAATGTTTTTGCTTTTGTGAAGCTTTCCAAAATGGGCCGTAGGTGTTTCGTTGTCTCATTTTCCTTTTGTCTAGCGTCGGGCAGTAGCCTTAGTTAAAACTTACCTGATCAACGGCTTCTCAAACTCTCCATTTTAAGCGACAATGCTGAGCTGTGTATCGGTGCCGTGTAGAACCTCAAATCCGTCGGTACTGACGATGGGCCTAAATTGATAGAATAATGAAACTCCCTGATGCTAAACAAAATGAAGTTAACGCATCGCACATTTTGTTTTGATCCGAAGGGGTAAAGTTACAATTTTAAATTTGCTAATTTTTGACCAAAAAAAGATTGAATTCTTCCGCGCTTTTCCGAAAGAGTACATTCCTTTAAGTTAAAAAGCGGTTGTGTATATTATTGGGTTGGGGACTATGACTCGGCGGACAAAAGAAAGGCAAATTTATTGAACATAAAACCATCAATACATTCCAAATAATTTCCATTATTATTGACGACTTCTGCCCATTTTACACGCAATTTGCGGATTCCTCTTTCGTAGTAGGATTTTGGTTTGTGTGTGAGACAAGTGTGAGACTCCAAAATTGAGGACTGGAGATGTCCCAGTTTGAGCACTTTCTTCAAAAGAAACCCATTTTGGTGTTAATGGAAAAGTTATAGAGAATCAAAAATTAGGCTTATAGCCAAATTTCCAATAAGATACACTTAGTAGTTTCGCTTAAAATGCAAGTTATGTGAAAATTCGTAAATTTGGCATTTCTTGAAAACCAGTGTTTGAATCGTTTTGAAAATTTGGATATAAGCTTGATTTTTGATTCTCTACAACTTTTCCATTGACACCAAAATGGGTTTCTTTTGAAGAAAGTGCTCAAACTGTCACATATTCCGCCTTCTCCGCCGAGCCAGTCCCCAACCCAATACTTGCCTATAGAGTGGGTAACTCAAAGCAAAAGAAAGCTGTACAAAAACCAAAGCATCAGATCATAACCCTAAAACAAACTCACGAACTTCTGCGATTTGACGTTTAGCCTGATATGGTCGATAGTGTAGTAGAGGGAAGTGATCGGCGTATCGTGGCTGAGCTCGCGTTGTACCACGTTGTTGTCTTTATCGAAAACCATTAATGAGACTAATTACACTCACATCTAATAGCGTGAGCGGAAGTTTCTTCTCGCTTTTCACATTTTTTGTGTTCTACGGTCAAAAATTAAACATCTTATTTGTTCGGATTCCTAGACGGCTTAAAATGGTTTTTTACTGTCTTAGTAGCTCGGGGTTGAAATTTTTCATGCTCATTCTGATTATGGTTGATAAGCGGAGTTATCTAGAGACTATTGAGAATCTTGTCTACAGGGTTCCTCATAGTTACTCATAATGACTGTGGAGGGTCTAGCTCTGTCAAATGATCACCGATTTTCACATTTTACGAGTGAATTTGGAGCGGGTCTCCTGTAGCATTGCCCATTAACTAATCGATAGAAGTTCAGAATTTTTTAAAATGGGCTTTCGACTTTGGGGGTCGCGCTCAACCTGGCACACAATCTAGTTTTGCGGCGCATGGTGTCATGATCATGTGACTCCTAACCTTAAAAGCTTGTTTACAATATTTGTGAACTCCTATCGGTTAGATAATAGACACCGCTACAGGAGACCCACTCAAAAATTTTGTGGGAATCGTTTACCTTTTGAATGAGCTACATTAAAGTGATTATGATTAATTATGACACACCCTGTAAAAGCTTTTAATTTTAATTGCCGACTTGGTTTTGGAAATCTAATTGTTTTTTATTTACAGGTTGACGGACGCTAAGCAAAATGTCGTTTGAAATGCGAAAGTTGACGTCATTCCCCATGCAGAAGCTATACTATGACCTGAAGCTGGAAGTTTTGGAGCAAATGAAGCCCAAAGATGCGATTGAATTGGTCAAGGTGAACGCAGGATTCCGATCGATTCTGCTGCGGAGACCCTGGCTAGTTTTTGGGCGCCACGTGCACCGGTTCCGCCC